TCGAGGGCTTAGAAGGAGCAGGCAAGAAAGTACTAGAGTTGTATCCATTTTGTAACTCATTTTCAATTAGTTCAGTTTTCATATGTGACTTTTCTGGGTGCCTGTATTATTTGTGGGTTTTTTGCCCGTAATATGTGGCCTTTTGTACTCATTGTTTCTGCTGATGTGAATTCAAGCATAAATATACACTAACGAAGTATGCTCTGGGCTCCAGGGCTTATTCAGTAGGGCATAACAACCCATCCTTACTGCAGGAGATGGGCTAAGTGCAACCTCAAGGATGGGAGGTTGTGCTGAGGATTTTAGCAAAAGCCCAGTTGTACTAGAGCTGGCAGAGGTCGGGCTGTGATGTAGACACAGACTATTTCACTGCCACAGTCTGTAGCTGCAGGGTTAAAAATGTAGATTATACTTACATTTTTAGTAACAACCACAGGAAAGTGAAAATAAAAAACAAACAAAAAAGAGTACGAAGTGCAAGAAAGCACAAAGATTGTCCTTGTAGTTGCAGCAGAGATGGTTCCTAAACTAATTGCAGTCGTTGATATTTTGTTTGAGTTTGAAGTGTATCACGCGTGCTTTCTGATTCACATTCATAGAAAATCAGACATGTCATTACATTTAGACCGATGGGACTTTTTTTTTTTTTTTTTTTTCTTCTGAAACCGTGGTCTCCCCCCTGCTCCATGCTTCTGCCTGGCACCTTTAAGAAAGCATCCCCGTGGCTCTCCCCTCTCTGCTCCCCCTTGGGACTTTAGGGATCGGTTTGTGAATTTCACCATGTTTGACCAAAGAAGGAAAGGGCTGAAAGGATATCTCAGAGCTTTGTGCAGATGTGTTTAGAGCCCATGCTGAAGGAAGAGCTCTTGGTAGGGGACATCCCTCTTGCCCGTGTGAAATTCCGAAGGGAGTGTGATGTGGGAGAGCAGGGCTGGTTTAGTTCTGCTGCTCATGTAACTACCAAGTAGGAACAATTTCCTTGTGGAGCAGTACAGCTTTTATTCCTTTTAAATACAAGCCAATAACTTCTCCATATGCTAAGCAAAACTGCTGTGATCTCTACAGACCGGTCGATATACCTTGTAGATTGTTCTGAATGAGTTAATTCATGTGTTTCCTGAATTTTGCAGCAGATGCTACTTGGGAGTTATTTGAAACAGGCTGAAGCTGCTGAGTTAGTTTCTGGGTTTGAAAACACATTTGTCAATTCCATCCAAAGGCCTTTTCTACAGCAAAAAGTTTGATGGCTTACTCATACTTGTGTCATTCAAGTGGTACATTCCTGGCTTGTTGTGCACCGATAGGGAGCAAACACTCACTACTGCATCTATTAAACGTTGTTCCTGACAGTGGAAGGAAATAACTATTTATGTGCGTGCCATCTTTTTTTCTTATTTTCGTGCTATGGCTTGTTCCCATACAGCGGGACTGATTAAAAGTCACTCTGGTAATCAACGAAGTTTAAGGCTGGTAGGCCTGGGAGTAATATGGGCCACTGAGCTGGGGGCCTGAGCTCCTTGGAGTAGGACTTTGCTATTAAATCAGTTGTGGTTTTGAGAGTGTAATGGCTTGAGTGAGATGAAGCAGTGGTGATTTTAACTCTGCTGTCTAGAGTGAGTTATGCCTTGGTGGGTGAAACCCAGAAGAGGGATGCATATAAGCTTACTGCTTAAAAAAAAATCTGTGCCAGCTGCTGTGGGTTAGGACAGCATTGCGCTGAGTTCCATTTGAAAGGATGGGAACTGTAGCTGTCATGGATGCAACTTTGCGGAATGACTAAAAATCCTTAAAAACCGGCTGTCAGTTAATCAGGAAATGGTGATCTATCTCCACTTTCCCCCCTCTTACCCCTTCCTCCTCGCTGTTGGATGGGGTTCTTATTTAACCAAAGAGGTAAGCATATTTTTTCAGTCCTGATCCAGTTCATCAGTTTTATGATTCTGAAACTCCGCTACGTTTTTGCTTCTTGCCTTCCGTAGCTAGGTGTTTGGTGTGGTAGTTGCGTATACAGGGAACACAATTTGTTTCAACCAGGTTAAAGCAGTTGTTAGCGCATCTAATTCAAATTTGTCTCTAGCTTCATACTGATCAGCTAAGTGACCCTAATGAGCTGTCCTTCTCTATTCCTCACCCAAGCATTTCAGAATGTTTAACAAACATGTGGCGCCTTTTAATAGCCATAACAATTTTCTCCATTTTTGAATGATGTGAGTCCAAAGAATTAAGTAATGCTTTTGAACTAATGCAGAAAACCTGCTGTAGAGAACAAAATGACTTTGTTGTCGAAGATGCTACTCCTATATTACAAAACATTTCTTTTTCTGTATGTTCTTTACTATGACCCAATCTCTTTAGTTCATTGAACTAGTTTTCTCTGTGCCATTACTGATTTCCTACATTTTTTTTAAGTGAGGAATTGTACTATCATGTATATAGCTGTGAAGTAGCAGTCTCATTTCTAACCAGCCATCAACTCCACAGGGGTTGCAGTGGTCTCTGAATTACAGAGAAGCTTCTCAGACCACGGTGGGATGTAAGCAAAGGTTTTTCCCCCTCCTTCTCTCATGTATTTCCTCTCACTCTAAGCAGAGTTTCACTTTGAGTTTCAGGTTTGCTTTAACCTCAGGAACTCAAAGCGTAACTAAGTGGAAACCACTGAGTTTCTTTTCAAATGTTACATGGCTCTGCTGTCAAAGCCAAGCCAGGTCTGTTTGTGGATTTGTTTGAGATGTGTTATGAATAAAGACACAACACGGGTCCATTGTGAAGAGGGAATATGCAAAAGATGGGGGAGGAAGTCAGGGGTCCTGGGGTCTCATTTGTGGAGATGAGTGTGTGCTAGGAAGACAGGGAAGGTGAGATCTTGTTTTGGGTAGTCAAAGAGAAGCAGCAAAATTGTTGGATATATAGGTGCATACAAGA